TCTGTTTGGCTCCCATGCTTCCAGGAAACATTGTTCTGTTTGCTTTCAATGGCAAAGGAAAAATGAATTATTAAATGGTCCCTCCAGGGTTTTGTCTAGGAGCAAGGATACACCCTTCAGAGCAGGGAACTGAGAACAAGCTGAAGGAAGAAGAGATTAAATTAAGATATCAGCTCTAATTGATAATGGTCCTTGTCATGACCTTGAAAATAAAGTGTAAAGGAAAAGATGAGAAAGAGGCAGAAATTTTCCAGAAGTGCTACAAAAAATGGGCCAATATTAGCACTACCCTGATCATTTTCCACCAGGTTCTCAATTCCTGCTCTAAGACAAGAATAGAAACAAAACAGAGGAAAAGGCACAATGAGGGCAGCTCATGGCAAACTTTAGGGCATGACAGATCAGGAAGTTCAGGAAATCATGAGCAGGGGAGTGTATTGAGTTTCTGGGGTTCTGTTTTTATCCAAACCTATAAATCTGATAATAAAATTATTGAAAAAGGTGAAAACCTCTTGTTCAAACAGGTAAAACTCCAGGGCAGTAGGGCACAGAGTTCAACCAAGGTGAAAGGAGAATGAATCCTTCTGAGTGCTATTAAAATCCACAAACCAGCCACCCTGTGTGCCCTGTGTCACTTCCCTCTATCCATTCTGTGTTCCTGTGTTTATTTTGTGCTCTGCCCTTACCAAATTCTGGACTATACAGTAATTTATCACCAGAATTACAGGCAGCAGGCCTGCAGAGGAACAGGAATGGCCATGGGCAAGCATCCATGGCTTCTTGGGAGTGGTCAGGAGCACAGGACCCTGGAAAGTTTTACTTTCCAATAGCAAATCAGAACCTTGAAGTCAACAGGGATTGAGCTTTCTCAGGAACATAATTTATAGTCCTGCCTGGCAAATTAATTTCAAGAACCTAAAGTGATCTCATCTCATAGATGGTCAATGTCTAATTAGCAATTAATCTATTTAAGAAGAGGTTCTATTTCATGGTTCAGCTTTGGAAAGTCTATAAAATGATGCATTTGCCCCCAGAAGGAATTCTGGGCTAATTTAGGTAATATCAGAAAACTTATATACAAAAAAATTGATACTTTCAAGGGCATCAAGCTTGAATGAATCCCAAAACCATTCTTGATACAAATGTTTGCGCACAGATGTTTGCACAAGCCCAGACTCTAGCTGAATCATAACATCCATATTCCTAATATAATTTGTTGTGTAATACTTGGCATGTCCAAGCTTCAGCTGGGTAAAAGCAGCAAAAACATTGAAATATGATGAGAAACTCTATATTTGTATTATTGTGTTACCCTAATTTTTAAAAACATGAAGCTGTGAATTGTGACTGGTGCAGCTGGTGGATATTGAAGGACAATGGAAGCTTCCTGGAGCACTGGCTGTCATTATGTTAGGTTTCAATTGCCTTTCTTTCCTTGCACGTGTTAAAACTCTATGTGGAGTGGAGCAAGATGAAATCTAAACTTAAATTTACAGCACTTAAAATGGGGAGGCAGAATATACATTTAGTTCTAAAGATAGGTGGGTAAAAGTTAGGGCCAAAATCTCCCTAGATTGTCTATAGAGTCAGTGGAGCAACAGGGATTTCTCAGGGATGAATCCAAAGCACCTTCCTCAGCTTTTTCTAAATTGCCTTGTGTTGGAATAATCAGAGGATCTTTGTCAGCTGTGCAAACCACAGACTGGGAACACCTGCACACTCCTGGAATGGCACCCTGCACTCAGAAGAAGCAAATTGGAATATCTTTGCTTTGCTCAGCTTTGCCCAGGAAAAATCTGGGATATTTAGGATGGCCCATACAGGCACCGACAGCCATGCTCCTGGATTAGGGAATGTTTCCTGGTGCTTTTTCCTTTCCAGAGAATGTGGGTGTTTGGGATGCTGTGGGATACCTGAGGCCATGGTAGGGGGTTTCTGGACAATCCAGGGAAGCATCCACCCTTTATCAGCTTCACTCAGAGGGTGTGAGCCCTGGCACAGGTGGCCCTGAGAAGCTGTGGCTGCCCCTGGATCCCTGGAAGTGTCCAAGGCCAGGTTGGATGGGACTTGGAGCACCCTGGGGTAGTGGAATGTGTCCCTAGGCAGTCCTAGGGTTTGGAACTGGATGACATTTCAGCTCCCTTCCAAACCAAACCATTCCTCTGACTCTGGTCCAGGGGGGTTTTCCAGATTCCTTCTGTCCTGCTGCAGTCACCAGAAAGTGATGCCTTGCGAAGGCTGATCTAGAACAAAGGCTAGACAGAGTTAAAGAATAAAGCAGGGATTTATTAGGAGACCTCCATGGATGCACCTTGGGCAGCACAAGAGCCCAGCCAGGGCTGCACCCAAGATGAACCAAAATGGCCCCAAAATGCACGAGCGCTCCCGGGGTCTCTCCCTGGGATCAGTTCTGCTCCATTTGCACCTTGCAGTTCATTGTCCCATTCCAGCTTTAGCCCAGGCAGTCCCACTCTGCTTGTTTTTCTCTCTCCAGCCCACGGTGTTTGTGCTCCTGGGCTGAGATTTGGATCATTTGTCCTTGGTGCCCAGCTGGAGCAGGAATTGTTTTGTCTCCTTGCTCTGTGCACAGGGCTCACCATGCCCTGATATGAAGCCCAGATCCACACACTAAAGCAGCACAGAATCTGAAAAATATAAAAGCTGAGACCTGAGGCATCACTAGGATTCTATGGCCTTTTCCTGTTAGAATGTGTGATAAATACAGAGGTTTGTGCCCAGGGAATCAGCAGGGCACGGACAGTCCATGGATCAGGAGCTCTCAGTGCAGACGCCACAGGAGCAGGTTGAACAGTGTCCCAGGTTTGCTTTGTCAGGGACATTTTGTTGAGTTTCTGGGCAATCACATTTGCCCACTTGACACTTGTTAGCAGTTTCGATATTTCTGCTTCATGCCTTTAATTCCTTTCCTGGGTATGTTTCAACTATTTTAATGAGTTGATGATAAGTTTTAAGGGTGCTTGTCTAGCACAAAGCAAAACCATTTGTGCCAGGAGTGGGAGCGCCATTAGCAGCCATGGCCTGAATCCCTGCTCTCAATTCAGGGTCTAAGTGCCACAAAAGCACTTTTAAATACACTATTAAGCTTCTCCTTCTTTAAGAAGGATAGAGGGGTTTAAGCCTGGAATTCACCTTAAATACATTTTTTTCTTAAGAGCTTTACTGTAAATTGGTTAAACATTATCACTGTGAATACAGGGTTTAGTGGAAATACTCCCTGCCCACAGTAGTGGATTGGAATTAGATGATTTTTAAAGTCCCTTCCAACACAGAACTTTCAATGGTTTCTGTGATTCTACGAAATACACAAATAAATCACGCTTCATTTACTTTGATTTGGTTTTTTTTGTTTGTTTCTTCGCTAGTGAAACAATTATTGCACCTCTTTAATCTATTTTATTTATTATTTTAATGATCATAAGCTAGAGCAGCTAATATGGTGCAGTCCTATCACAACCTGAATGGAAAGAGAGTGGGTTTTGTCTTACAGTTTTGGACTTTGAAGCTTAAAAAAAATGAGCCAAGTTCTCTGCAAGGTGTAGACTAAGGAACAAATTGTGAATTTCACATTTTCTGCACCATTAACCTGAAATTTTTCAAAATAAACTATTTACTGTGGGTGAGCTATGCAACTGTTCTGGCTCTTTCTCTGGCCCAGAGATTCTGTAAGGTAAGAAAGGGTTAATTTGGAGTCAATGGAGGTCCTGGGATAACAGCAGATAAAATTGGAAAGATATCCTAGAAAGTGGGTATAAGATCCTGGTTCTGTGCTTCATTTCTAAGTATAATTTGGAAGAATTCACTTCCAGTTGAGGGTCTGCTTTGCCTGCCATAAAAAAAGGAGCATTTCTTTCCCTAAAGGGAAGCATCAAGTGAAGAGTGGAAAAGTAGAAATTGGCACACTCTTACAGGAGGGCACTTGAAAAATGGTGCAGAAAATTAAATTGTATTACATGACAAATTAAAAATGAAGAATCATGAACAGTTCGTGTGTTAGCACAACTGATTTTGTTTATTTTTAAACCACCCCAAAATCCAATCATGCTCTATGTACATAGGCAATACATGGGATAGCACACCAAATGTAGACAAGAAAGATAAAATATATTCTGGTTTATTTTGCTGGTAATTTTCATTTTTATTCTTTTTTCATTGTCCATCTGCTCAAGTTGATGAAATGATCCAACCTATACAGATTCCTATGCCAATCCTACCTCACCTCCCAATCCCACCCTCTCTCTCAGAGAGGAGAATCCATCTCCTTACCTCTGGGGGGGTTTTGCTAAATGCTGGAATGTTCTGATTTACCATCAGTTCCTCTGGGCCTCATTTCTTATGGAAATTTTTTTAATGCAGAACAAGTATAACAGCACATGTCTGCTTGAACTATATTCTATAGTTAGTAGGTAAGACCAGCTAATGCTTTGGGTTACTCAGGAAATCATAAGTAGCACACACACACACAAATTTAAACAGAAAATAATCTTCCACGTCACTTAGAGTGTTAATTTTCTTTCTCATTTCCAGTGTCGTTTATTTCGCTAAGCACTGCTGCAATTCTTTCACTTCTCTTTATGCTCCTATTTTCTTACAAAACAGTACACTAGGCTTTCTGTATAAAACATATATATAAACATTTATATATATATATATATATATAAAAACAAAGCAACCACCCCCAAAATGGACTTACAGGTATGTATTTGACCCTCATTAAAAAATATACTGTGTGTTCATCTGTTTGTGGTCCCTGAATGTCACAGCGCTGGTTATTGGGATAGGGACACAGAGAAAGGGGAATTCTTTTCTCCTTGTTCTGTTTTAAATCACATGATAAATTTCACAAGGTGAACAAAAGCAGAGTAGCCACAGGAACCATCAGATCCTGTTTGCACACTGGCACCACATCGCTCTTGTTGCCATTGTTGCTACTCTCCAATTTGAATTCTAGTTATTACTTCCCAGGAGTTAATATATCTATATTTTTTGTTTGTCACATATATTCTTCCCTCACAAGCAGTTGGATAGATGCAGGTTCAGGGAGAATGAAACACTAGAAAGTCTGAAAGATCCTGTGACTCTGGAAATTCTTACCTTGCCTTACTTTTCTGGCCCTCTTTCTCAAAGATGATCAACCATTTAGGAAATTATGGGTAATTTTACATAGCAACTGATCTTTAGTAACCTTTCCTTCCAAAAGATGCTTTAGGATGCTGATTTGAGACTTTTTTTTCCCATTCATTGCTGGCATTAGATGCCAGCCCTGCTTTTTTGTATAAATACTGTTTTTTCAAGTGTAAGGCCTCCGTTATTGGTACAGATGATTCCCTGTCTTCAATTTCTATTCTTTCATGAAAAACCTGGTCATTGGAACTATTTATCATTACTGAGTGATGTGGTGGGAGAACCCCCCATGCTAAATACACCTCAAAATTGGGTGGTACCAAGGGAATGGTTAAACTTCAGCCCAATTTATGTAGGTCGTGCAAAGGTGACCTAAATAAACTTCACCCTATTTTGTTTAGGTCATGACTTCTTAACCTAAAGACTCTGTAATTAAAAAACCCCAGATATAAAAAAATGCTATTAGGATTGGGGGCATAAAAAAAAAAAAAAGGAAAACTGTATTGAATTAAAAAAACAAAGTACTGCTTGCTGGTTTACAAAGAGTCTATAACACTGATAAAATCTTCGGAAACCAATGTACTGCTTTTTTTTTTTTTCCTTTTTTTTCCCCCTCTCTCCATGCCCTTCTTTATTTTGGCTTCATCTCCACCCGGGAGTTCATATCATCCCCTTCCAGGTCATACTCTTCTACTTGGCCACTGGTCCACACCTTCATGCGGTCGGTGAGGTCGCTGGTTCTGGGTGCCAGGATGAAGTCGTAAATCAGGGCAGCACTTGCTCCTCCAATGATTGGGCCAACCCAGAAAATCTGGAACACAAATCCAAGCCATTGCATCAGGTATTTCTGCATTTGAAGCTCCTCTGAGGATTTTCACAGTGAAATTTTGCAGCCCATCGACCTGAATGTTTACTTAACCATGCGGAATTAAAACCAGGAATTTGTGGCCATGAGAGGTGAATAACTGTGACTATGCTGTAAAATTGTGACATTTAAAATCAGTTGTCTACTGCTAAAACATCTCTGCTACTCCATATAGAGCTGGCAGGGGAGCATAATTTCTAAAACAACAGGGCAGAAATTTCCATTCTCCTATTAAATTCCAGTGATAGGTGAATTTGAAAGTAATACTTAACAAGGGCTTAATTAGGGTCTTAATTTACCCCTAGATGCTGCTTAGCTGGTGATATAGCTGTGATTAAACTGGCCTAACCACTTAAGAAAACTAAAATTTAGAAGGAGAGGTAATAAAAGGATTTTAGTAGAAAAGTTGATTTTGTTAGAAATAACAGAAGATATTGAAGACTTTGCAGGGCCAAAGCACTGCTGAGTCTGGAAACTCTTTTATTCAGCAATATCAGTAGTTTAACACAAATTATTACATCTATCTTATTCTGTATCTACAAAGGATAATAATTTTCCCATTAAATTCTGAAAATATCAGCTCCTCACTTAGTTACTTCCCTTTTGTGTCCTAATAATAATGCTCAAGTGGTAGACACTGCCAAAATTTCCCAAGGGTCCTCCTTTTATGTTTTACTCTTTAGATGAAAATGGAATCCGTATCCAAAATGTTCACAACCCCACTGTATTACCACTAAATTTCCACCTGTGCCTATGTAACTGGCTGCCAAAATCATGAGTAGGAGAGTTGGAACAAGCCTCATTTTATATATTCAAGAACACACGTTCATTTACAGCTTTATATCAGCCTTCTTTATTGAGCTTTAGTGAAATAAGTAAATTTTTGTGAAGAACCTCATTTTAACCACATTTAAACACAAGGAATAATCTAAAATTTATAGTGTTTCCAGAGCACTTATCCTTGAAAACACATAAGAAGATACTCAGCTTTAAGAGGCTGAACATTTTATTAGCTGTTAAATATTGGATGATCCGTTTCAGTTAATAAACATGCTTAAGAATCTTTCTAAATTGGATTTTACCAAATTAGGCAGTAGCACTTTACAAACTTAATTTAAACAATAAATACACAGTACAGGATTCTGTGTAATAAGGCTTAAACAATTAAAATGTTTGAAATAAATAAATATAAAGGGGAATAACCAGAGAAAATCTACTGTGTTACTTTAAGTACAGAGACTGAATGAGCCTGAGGACTTTTTGTTTGCCTGAGGATGGTCAGGATTTAAAGAAGAATATTCTTTGTTAGGTGAAATGGAAATGCCAACTCTCTGACTTGGTCCTAATGATAGATGTTGAAATGTTTCTGATCTTGTAGGTTATGTGTTTTTCAGAGCCTCTTGTGAGTTAAACAAATTTACTCAACTTACCCAGTGATCTTGAAAGTTGTTGGCGATGAGCGCTGAGCCGAAAGATCTGGCTGGGTTAATTCCACAGCCGGTGTAATCAATCTAGGAGGCGGAGAGAGAACCACAGGTGAGGGACAGATGAAGCTTCCCCATCATCTCACTGGCCCAATCCAAGGTGGGACATGGCAGATATAACCTCTGCGGGCTAAAACTTACAGCCAGAAGATGGCCCAAGGCAACGGAGAGACCAATGGCCAAAGGCGCCGATCCTGAGACATCGTTCCTTCTCCGGTCTGTGGTGGCCAGGACACACAGCACCAGCTGGAAGGTGGCAATGATTTCAATTCCCAGCCCTTGGCCTGCATTGATTCCTTCTGAAAGCTGCATGGAGGCAAGAAGGAAAATGTTATTTCATATTCCTGCATGACTTCAAGCAGTGTAACAAAGTTCTGTGGTATCTATTTCTTCAATATGAACCTGCATATCCATTTCCCTCCTGGGGTTCCTTTTGCTTAACAAGGGGAAAAAGAGGAAGAAATAGAAAAAATTGAAGAGAAGTTAGTTTTGAAACACTGCCTGCTGTACTCAAGCCTAGGCATACGCAGTTGTTTGAGTTTTTTTGAGTGGTTGCTTCTTCCAGCCAAACGGAACACTCAGCCACTGGGCACAGTGAGAGTGGAATTATCTATGTGTGAGAAACAAACCAGCCAGAGAGACACGTCTAGCAGAGTTTACTTTTCAGAAGTGAACTGTGGTGCCTTAGGACAGTCACTCATTGCTTCAGGAACTTCCACATTATTATTAAGATATTAATGTTCCACCTAGACTGTAAATTAATATGCCACAGGAAATGCCCTGAGATTTCCATGGAGTTTATGGGGGACTGGTAGATGTGACTGAAGACCAAAAGTATGCAAAACATCTCTAGATATTATAATTTAGTCAATGTATCTCTAATTTGCACAGATAATGGTGTAGTCAGTGGAGATGAGACCCATTCACCTGATGAAATGAAGGAGATCATTTGAAAGCTCTATCTTTTCTTTTAATAGATCTCATTTGACTACAAAGAGCTTAGACACCTAACTCACAGCTGAGCTACATTTTGGTGCCTTAGACTCAAACTGAAGCTCATTTAACTTCTTTGGGATACATTAAAAAAATCCCGAGTTAAGGAATCCCAAGGGGCTGATGGGAGTGCTTGAATTTCCTGCTGAAGTGGATTATCTAGAAAAACTGAAACTGTCAGGAATAAATATTCCAATGGAATTATTAGTCATGAAATCAGCAGAGTTTCTTGTAAGTGCTGTAGAGCATATTGAAACCATGGTGATTCACTTAAATGGACATTACAGAGCAGAAATACTGCCACATTTCAGGACTACTGCTGAAATCTTGTGCCTTACAAGAAACCATGGAGGTAAACCATTTGATGTTAAAACAAGTTTTGAGTTCTGCTTTTAATTGCTGTATTCAGTGGTGTCTCCATTAAGTCAAGGCAAGTCTGTTACTGAGCTGAATAACTTGATGTTAAGCAGAAATAACTCACTTGTATGGATGGGATGAAACATGAGCTTGGCCAAAGGCCAGAGAACTGAAAATGTGACTCAGAGTAGGAAGCAAACTCTGCAAAACTTATATTAATTTGTGCTATCAGTGGGTTATCACATCTGTCAGAGCCCCTGCATTAAAAACTGCTGGGTCATTCGTGGCAAGAAACATAATTACATGTTGTTGTGACCTGTCCAGAACAATGAAACCATGGGAAATCCTGCTGTTAATCTGATTTTGTGGTTTATGCCCTAATTTCCCCAAAGCTAATTTTTGAAAAACCTTAAAACTTAAAGATGGTTAACTGAACTATTTCACTTTTCACAGTGCTGTTCACATTTCTTGTTTCTTCTCTGTAGCAAAGTTTAATATAAAATTCCTAAGCAATGAAAAAAAGTCATTTGAGTCTTTCCTCAGCATAAATCTGATTTTTTAAATCCTGTTATTCTGAAACACTAATAAAGTATTCTTATAGCTTGCTCTTTAACATGCAGGAGTGATATCCTCTGAGTTGGAAGTAGTTTATCCACAAATATAAGGGAATTCTGGTTGAAAGGATTTGGGTTCCTTCAGCATGCACAGAGTAGAAACTGAACTCCATTAATGAAACCTTCATCATTATTAGCACTTACACATGAGAAGTGTGAGTCCGACATAAATGCATCTATACAGGATGCATTGAAAATTGCAGATCTAGACATTCATGCTTGATATCTCTGGATTAATATTCTGTTGCTTTTGTAAGTTTTAAAAATAAGCAAATTTTTTTTTCACAGTAGAAACCGTGGCATTTTTGTCTCTCAGCAAATTAGGCTTCCAATGTGTTTCCTTGTATCAAAACTTATTTAAGACTGGACTACGTACCATCTGGAAAATCTTATCTCACATTTGGAAGGCCAAATGGCCAAACTTAAAAGCCAGGTAGCAAATAAGTGACTGATGTGCACATGGCCAAAAGCAGATAAGAAACCAAATTCTTTTCAATCATAATGCAGCCCCAGAGAACCCAGAGCTGAGGTCTGACACATCAATGTTGGCATTTGACAAAGCCTTGACATTTTTAAATATTAAACACTGGCCAGCCATTGGGCTTTCCCTTCATTTGAAGGGCTTCTATAAAAGACAATAAGAGCAAAATTATTCTTTAAAAACCTGTGATAATCCTTATCTTCTAGAGGAGGAAATCATATTCTTCCTTTCCCTCCAGGAAAAACACATCCTACAGCTGACGTGGCTTGAGGTCATTCTCCCTGCTAATCAACACTTATTGATGGGCTGAGTGGGATCAAAGAAAACCTGGAAATATCATAGGAAACCTTTTGCTTTCCTCCAGCTATGTAATTTTACACAGCCTGCCAGAAACATTAAGATTCTACTGTGAGAGCAAGGACTCTGGGCTGTGCTCCAAAATGGGACAAACCTAGGCAAACCTTGGATGTCCTGCTTTGCTGGGGCGTGTGGATCTGCAGTGTGTAAGTAGGATATTAAATATTAATTAAATTTAAATATTTAATAAATATATAATATATAAATATTCTGTAGGATAACAGAATATTTATTTGTCTCCTTATCAGAGGTAAATTATCACTGCAGCATCAGCCCGGACCATCCACAGCACACATGGAACAGCACCAGTGTTCACCATCCCAAGCACGCCCCAGAAAAGATTTAGAAAGGGAATAGGAAGGTACATTCCTTCTGTCAAGTTAAAATGTACATGTAAAATGTACATGTGCATATTTATATTTAATTTATATTTTATCTATATTTATAGTTTTATGGTTTTTTATATTTAGAGTATAATTATATTATTAATGTTTATAGTTATATTATTTATATTTATAGTTATCCTCATTCACAGAGGATTTACAATTCTTACCCAGATAACATTTTGCACCTTTTGAATCTGCTCTTTTAAGCTCTTGACAGAACCAGGGAGGCACAACCAACATGGGTTTGTCATTCTCTTCTTGTATTTTCTTTATGTTATTCAGGTTTTTAAGGAAATTTTGAACTTTTGTGGAAGATTTTGTAGAATACCAGACCCCAGAGGCTTAAGAGTTTTCTTAAGCTTAATCTGAATTTAGTAGGAAGCTGTACCACACTTTAGAAAACTGACTAAAAATCAACAGCTGTTCTTAACATCTGCCATTCTGTTGCTGAGAATATCCAAAATACAAGGTGACCAATATCTCTGGTTCCTAAATAGACAAAATAATGCTTTGAAATGAGACACAGCCATTTCTAGTGCAGTGTTGGGGTGAAGGGAACCCTCTCCAGCGACCTGTACCCACACTGCAATGCCTTTTTCCCTGTGCACTGGTACCCTGATGGATCTGCTGGGAAATCTTTGACATCTTCTCTTTGCAGTCCGATAATCCTCATTAAGGTAACAGAAAAATTGTCAGAGGGCAGAGAACAGCACAGAAACTCCCTGAGCTTTCAGGCATCAGATCTGAGATACTTGAGGAGTGGATTCAGTGCTTTGAGGAACCAAACATGCTCTAAGGGGTTAAATGAAACAAACAAGCCAATATTCATCTCCAAGAGAGTCTACATAGGCTTCTTTTCCTTTTTTGTTCACATGAATAATTCCACTAAACTTCATTTCTAATGTCAGTGTTTTGACAGCAGAAGCACCAGAAACACACATAAGAAATGGGCTGAATCACTGGCAAGCTGGGAGAGTTGTCTGTGGACACATTTTTCTGATCAGCTGAATCAATCTTGGCTGCAGCAGCTTGCAGTGAGTAATTCCCCCTGAACCTCACAGCTCCCTGACAAGAAGCAGAACATGCAGACACCCCAAGGGAGGTGCATCCTCCTGTGAGCTGAACTCTACCATTCCCACCCTTAACAATCCCATTATTAATATTTTTTTTCCCTCAGTTCACTGTGAATCTGAACAAGGTCATGGTATAAAAATCTAGCAGAATTCAGTAAATATACAGAAGTCACATCTTACTCAGAAAACTCCTGAGATACAACTGATTGGAGACTAAGGAAGCACTGAAGGCACAGTGGCTCAAGAGACATTCAAATGAAGAATGTTAAACCCCAAAAAACATTATCTAGACATGAACAATTAGTTCATGTCTAGATAATGAGAGTAATTAGTTGAGAGGAACACCTGCTTTATATCTTAGGAAATGGGCAGTGGTCACATCGCTTCCAGCTCTCCATAACATCACACAGGAGATGGGAGCTACAGAATTTGTTTCCCAGAAGTGCCCTTAACTGCCATGTTTAGCTGACTGCCTCCCACAGCAATAATTTGGGCCAATTAATGGTGTGTTTTCTTTCCTTTTGAATTTTTTTTAATTTTTTTTTTTTTTTTTTTTTTTTTTTTTAAGGACAGGATATTTATCAGTTGTCCGCCTTCGGAAGAGAAACGGGGACAGGAAATTAAACTGGCCCAAGGTAAACCCCACTGTGTACTTCTCCAGTGGCTTCATATTTTTCTCATTACCAGAGAAAGTATATCAAGCTCAAACCTGTTTCCCGTTATATGGATAAGACACTTTGTTATGCAAGGTGGTTCCATCACGTGGGATGGGCTGAGCTCCATCTCATCCAACAAACCCTCAGCCCTGGATTGGAGCTTCCAGGGCCCAGCTTCCTTTCATATAACAGGGATTAGTTTCTCATTGTTCCAGAAAAAAAATTTAAAAAACAAAAATAGGAGGACTCTGGTATTGCAAAAGTCTATTTTCTAGCAGGGGAATGTCAGCTTTCCCCATTCTTATGAAACACCAGAGCAAGCCCTGCCTGCTGGTGTGGTTTTGAGGGAGAAAATTTAAGCCACAGCATTTCACAGCATTTTTAATGGC